AAGTAGAGACACTACATACTGATATACACCTGAACATCAGCAGGAGAGGACTCTTTAAAGTAGAGACACTACATACTGATATACACCTGAACATCAGCAGGAGAGGACTCTTTAAAGTAGAGACACTACATACTGATATACACCTGAACATCAGCAGGAGAGGACTCTTTAAAGTAGAGACACTACATACTGATATACACCTGAACATCAGCAGGAGAGGACTCTTTAAAGTAGAGACACTACATACTGATATACACCTGAACATCAGCAGGAGAGGACTCTTTAAAGTAGAGACACTACATACTGATATACACCTGAACATCAGCAGGAGAGGACTCTTTAAAGTAGAGACACTACATACTGATATACACCTGAACATCAGCAGGAGAGGACTCTTTAAAGTAGAGACACTACATACTGATATACACCTGAACATCAGCAGGAGAGGACTCTTTAAAGTAGAGACACTACATACTGATATACACCTGAACATCAGCAGGAGAGGACTCTTTAAAGTAGAGACACTACATACTGATATACACCTGAACATCAGCAGGAGAGGACTCTTTAAAGTAGAGACACTACATACTGATATACACCTGAACATCAGCAGGAGAGGACTCTTTAAAGTAGAGACACTACATACTGATATACACCTGAACATCAGCAGGAGAGGACTCTTTAAAGTAGAGACACTACATACTGATATACACCTGAACTTCAGCAGGAGAGGACTCTTTAAAGTAGAGACACTACATACTGATATACACCTGAACATCAGCAGGAGAGGACTCTTTAAAGTAGAGACACTACATACTGATATACACCTGAACTTCAGCAGGAGAGGACTCTTTAAAGTAGAGACACTACATACTGATATACACCTGAACATCAGCAGGAGAGGACTCTTTAAAGTAGAGACACTACATACTGATATACACCTGAACATCAGCAGGCAGTGGCCGCGCCAGAGTATTTTTGTTGGGTAATCTATGGTAGGGCTAACCCACACAGTGGTGGGGCTCAAGTCAGTATTTGTAATGTAATTACATACACGCTATATCGCACCCCTTGACAGTGAAACGCACGCGTGAGGCTTTTATTAGCTTGTATTAGTCTCCTTTTATCAGCTAAATTACATCGAGAGCAACAGGTGTGAGTTAAACAATACAATAGCCTATTCTGCTAATTCCACGTTGTTACAACATGCTACGCAGCGGCAGAAACAAGAAAAGTTGGCATATAGAATTGACACGGAGAGGGAGAGAGTGAGGGAGAGAGACAGAGAGAGAGACACAGGTATACAGAGAGAGACTGACACAGCACACAATAGGTGGCCTGTGTCTCTATTGTCATACAAAACACTTTTTCAAATGACTATTACAAAATATATTCAAAACTCACTATTCACTCTTCAGGTGGGTCGTGTGACTCTGGCACCTGTTCGACTTGTACCGCAATGCGAGGGCGTTTAAGAACAAATCTATCCATCCGAAATATACAATTAATCCTAGAAGTTATGCTGTCTGTCTGCAATTTACTCGGCGCGAGTTTGGGGACTTTTCACTGTGAACGTGACGAATCAGTAATGCATGACGCAGCAGACCCAACGTTTCGTTGCTCTGATTAGCTGTAGGTCTATTCAAATTGCATTCGGAGGCATTTTGATCTGACCGCGGCCGCACTGATTTCCACACCTTTAGTGTATAAAACTCCCCCACTACTTAGACTATTCCTTGCACCCCTCTAGCATAAGCCTGAATGGTCTCAAACATATTGCGTCAGTAACGTGCACTTGTTGTTACAGCAGGATCAGTTTGTGTGTTGTGGACACGACCGGTAGATTTTCGCAATCCGTGTTCTCAACATGCTCACTTTAACATACTTTTTCATGGTCGGGCTAAAGTAGGGCTAAGCCATTTCTTGGTATGGCTGTAGCCTACCCCAGCCATACCCTGGCGCCACCACTGTCAGCAGGAGAGGACTCTTTAAAGTGGAGACACTACATACTGATATACACCTGAACATCAGCAGGAGAGGACTCTTTAAAGTGGAGACACTACATACTGATATACACCTGGACATCAGCAGGAGAGGACTCTTTAAAGTAGAGACACTACATACTGATATACACCTGAACATCAGCAGGAGAGGACTCTTTAAAGTAGAGACACTACATACTGATATACACCTGGACATCAGCAGGAGAGGACTCTTTAAAGACAAAAATACCAACCATATGGTGGAGCTAGAGTCCGGAGCAAAGTATACAAACATTATCTGATACGAATGTACAGTAGCAGTTATATAAACTGACACATAGCACAGTAATGATGACAGTCTCTTTAAGCATGCCTCCAGGACATACTACAGTAGATCCAGAGCACAGACATCAGTAACTATGACACTCCTCGGAGATAAAGGAGGCAGCAGAGGAAACATAAAAGTGAAACCGGGGAATGAAAGGAGCGCTGAAAGAACTGCGGGACAAAAGGCTGTATAATTCAATAATAACTGGTTTGATTCCTCTTGTCAAGTCATCAAATTCTACATTAAGATTTAGTACATTAAGTTGACTTATCAAGAGCTGCTAACAATGACAAAGCCGTGCTGTATAATAGCTTCTTTTGGAGTTTTCATAAGGAACATTGGATTTCTATAATCACTACAAATGTTGCCAAAATGGAAGGATAACTCCACAGGAAAGTTGAAGTTCTCCATCCAGAAGAGTAGAAATGTACGGATACATTCAAGAGACAGAGCTTGACATTTTAACCTGAGCACATTGTTATGTATAGGACATGATAAATATTAAAGGCGCCAAATCACTTCCTTTCTCTGGTAGGAATCGGAGGAACCACATCATGTACATGAGAAAGTCATGTCGTGGCAATTTAGCACTCACAACAGGAAAGAATGAAACAGAGAGGAATCAATAAAACACAGATATAGTTGATCAATTATTATTTCATTGTACAACAATCAATAATAACGAGGAAAACATTACCTCTGCTCTCAAGCAGTCCTACAGCAATGCTCCAACCCAGTAGAACTTTACAGAGACATATATAGGACTCCTGACATGACGCACACACATTTTCCTTACATTACCTAACATACGACATCACATGTTCTGCCTCTGAATGCTTGTTCCAGATGTCGAAAGTTTGCTTATCTCATGACATCCTTTAGGAGTAGTCAACTCTTCTCTGAACTTCCTCTAACCTCGATGTCAGCTCACTTAAAATGAATACATCTATTGATAATTCAGAACGACCATTGTCTCTCTAACTGACCCAACTCAGTAACACACATCATATAGCTTACCATGTGACCTTAATGAATATGCCAGAAATACGTTCTGCCATAACAGTCATGTCGTGTATGTGGCTTTACATCGAGCGACAGCATGTAGCGCATCAATTATTAATAAACGTGGACGTATAGAGTTCATATGCTACATGCCCTGTATGTAGTTTGACTTTATAATTGGCAGGACATGTGTGGATAAGAAGTGTTCTGCACTGATACATATACCCTCTGTACGAAAAGCCTGCCCTTTAAATCTTTAACCAGGCGTCCCTGAGAGGAGCAATCAATTATGAGGGAGAGGGGTCATCAGACCAAAACGGGCCAACACGGTTAAATACATGCCGGAACAACGTCTGGATAATGAAATGAACACCCTCCCCCGACAGTCACCTTGATGCATGATTGAGAAGCATGACACGTGTCCTTCTGTCAATCACAAGTGTGTGAGGAGTGTGAAGTGAACATGAGTGTGTTCTTAAAGACGTATTGTCCTTGTGAGAGTTTCCTGGAGAGATACCCTTGTGTCAGACTGTTATAAGCCGACCACAAAGGACTTTTGATTATGGAATTATTCTTCTTATAGGGAGTGAAGGCATTCATTAATTCAATTACGCCCGTGTGTGCTCCTGCAGCTCGGGCTAATGGCATATTAATCCTCTGGGCTGGGATCTTAACTCTGCTTCAGAAAGATATGCTCAGGTTTAACGGGGATATGAGCTAAGAGGTTTTAGGACGAGAGGTTTAAGACCACTTCACAGGGGCCTAAAGCCATTTATATACAGAAAGGGTTTTGGAAACGGCTTGACTTTTAAAAGAATAAAACTTTTGTGACTTCTTGCTTAAAGTTAGACCGTTGTTTGACAAATAAACATCTGGATTGACGAGACCTAGTAGTTCAAAGAGACTATGCATACTGTCTGTTATGTTGAAGTGCTTATGAGCAAAATAGTGGAGTAACCTGCTCTGTTACAGTGAGTTTGTCCACATTAAAACAAGGATGCACGATGTATCGTTTCAATAGTGTTCAAAAGTCATCTGAGTCTCAGGGTGTTTCTCAATGTCGAGGAAGCCACTATTTCAAGGATGCTACGTCATCGAGTCCCACCGAAGGACTGTTCCAATGTCCAGGATACTTGGAATTCTAGCGAGGCCGGCGTACTTCTCCTCCGCCGTCTTAAAATCCCCACAATGCTTTGCGCACGGACCAATTTCCAAATCTTTGTGGAGGAAATCGCGCTCCATTTAAGGCGGGGCCTCTCATATGACGCACACCTGTTAGCCTGTTCCACAATTCTTCGTTTTCCGAGGCTAGGAAGGATTCTTGCCTCGCTTCTGAAGCAACTGACTCGGAGGTACATGTGAGAAACACCCTCAGTCTGATTTGATTTTGGATACCCTTTAGATACCTTTTTTTGGAGTTTGTTCCAGATGAGTGACATGCAAGCTCCACCAATCACCATCATTCTCAACCAAAAATGAACCAGGAACATGGGAAAATACCAAAAACAGTATTTGTTTGAATGGAAATATTTGAGCTACTGAAAGATCATGTACTTCGTCATTATTTGGTGAATATTCTTGTATTTTTCAAATTGCAGGAAACTAATTATCGTACTTTTTCAGCACATTTTCATCCAATATTGCGCAGCTTTGAACAGTTACTGGAGGAAAGAGCGCTGCTGTCCTACCTGCCCTCTTGAACCTCTCCAGCAGGCTCTGTCTGACCTCCCTCTTCAGGTTGAAGTAGTCGTCCTCCTCATCGGGGGTCTTCAGGTACAGAGGAATGTGTTGAAACACCAGGACGTGTTTGGGTTTGGGCTCCTAGACAAAGACACATGTGAAAGGATGGGGTTAACACAGGGCTGTCCAAATCTTTTTTTCACCGAGGGCCACATACAGAAAACTATACGAAGGGCTGGGCCACTCACTAGAGGTATATCGCCTCATAAGCTCAGTTATAAGTTAGCAAAATCAATGTGTTGGCAGCTCATCCCTTAAAGCAGAAGCTCAGATTGATTATAATCAGGAGAAATAGGAAGGGTTTATTTCAAGCTTGTAAATAAGTCATTGGGCTTTTTTCTTATCAACTAAGATAATGTTTCCAACTTTAATTGACTGAATTTATTTGAAAAGTGGTTTTAGTAACACATGAATACTACTGTGTGATATATGTTTACATTCATATTGAAGAAGTACAATATAAGCAATAGGGGTGGGGGAAATAATCGATACAGCATACTGTTATGGAAATAATTATCATAGACGCCAATTTGTAACATACAGGACAAACCTTGATGTCTGTTTACCTTCTTTAAGGACACAGGCTGCTTAGCCAATAATGTTATTGTTCCCATTCTGTGACCGGTCAATACTGGGTCACAGATGGTCTGTGTTGTGGGTACACTGGGACACTTCCTTCTCTGTATTTGTGGACTCCAAGGTGAAATCTTCGAGGTCATAAGTGTCCGACGCAAGTAGCTCTGTGTTCCCACACTGTTTAGGCTATCTTTTCAAATATGTTGTTTACTCTCTGCGAAACCAGTTAGATGGGCTGGCAAGAGAGAGGCTCTCCAGAATTGACGTGGCAACTCTACCGTGAAGTCAGAACCTCTGACTCTTGGACTTGTGATGTGAATCCTCCGGCCGATAACTCCAAATAAACCATCATGTGTTTGACATCAAAGCTACTGCTCCTACCGTGTCTCCTTCCTGAGTCGGTGACTCCCACTGCATAGCTACACAGAAGTTTCCTCTACACATAGTATCGCGATACTTTGCGTGGCGATATTGTATCGATACACGGATGCAAAGTATCGATATTTAAATGTCTGTAGCACATCCCTCCGAAAGATGGTCGTATATAAAACAGGAAGTTACGTTAAGACATGAATACAATTGCAATGAAAGTAACAAAAACAATGCCATCTCCTTTTTAGGTTCAAAGAACACAAATTGTGTTATCTACATAAACTATTCATATTGCAGATACATTTTTTAACCAGTATATCGTATATACCATATACCAGTATCGTATACCAGTATATATCGTATCGCAATACTTAGCATATCGTAGAATCGCAATACTATCATATCGTGGCTTAAGTATCGCAATAGTATGGTATGGTGGGGAGCCTGGTGATTCCCACCCCTAATAAGCAAGCACAAGTTTCATTTGTGGGCCATATTCCATTATACTTTTTTAATTTGCTGAGGGCCGATTCAAAATGGTCCACGGGCCGCATTTGGTCCCCGGGCCGTAGTTTGGACACCCCTGGTTTAACCCCACACAGAGTTAAACCGTTGTGTCAAACTGGCTGCAGACGGCAGCAATTATCCGGGAATAGAGAGCCTTATCCGGCTGAAAGTCCTCATTAATGGGACCGCCTTACCGCTGAGGAGGAGGCTCGGCTCAGCTGCTCCTCCAGCCACGTCTCCTGGGCCTCCTTCAGCTGAGGGCAGGCCGAGGCGTCGTGGAACAGCTGGGAGTTCAGAACCAGGCAGAGGACCCCGCCCACCTGAGACAACAAGAGAGAGGGAAGGAAGGCACAGAGAGGTTACTTACACATGCTTCAAACTACAAGAGCTTATATAGTAAGAAGGAGTAATTTCTATTTCTACCATCCTTTCACTTCAAAGTCAACTTCATTGTCAATCTTTCAGTTGGTGTGTACAGACGGAGAGATCGAAATACCGTTTCCCACAATCCAGAATACAAATATACAAATACGTATATACCTGTATATACACAATCAACAGACACATTTATACATATGCACACATTAAGACATAAATAAAAGCACAACAATCAATATATACAAAATAACAGTCACTTCTTTACTGCACTAATTCCCAACTTCTGCACTAAAGATTGATGAGAAATCCTCTTTAAACATCTGCTAGTACCGCATTTAAACAACTTATTGCATTAAAAAATAGAGTCCGTAAGAATGGCCCTGAGGTAGAGGTTGACTTTTGGCCTTTAACATTTGTTCAAGTGTGTAGACACGTAAATTAATGTTTGCTCTCCATCTTTCTCCAGCAGGATCAAGAAACTGATCAGGAAAGCTGGGTCTGTCATCGGCATCAAGCTGGACCCCTTTGAAGCTGTGGTGGAGAGGAGGACGCTGAACAGTATCCATTATGGATAACCCCACCCATCCTCTCCACCTGCAGCTGGACAGTCAACGGAGCTCCTTCTCCAACAGACTGCTAACAAGGACCGATACAGGAACACATTCCTGCCCACTGCAATAACTCTGTACAACAAATCACCTGGAAGAGAACTCTCTGCTCCATAGTTTCTCTTGGAATAAAACCACATTGTACATTTTACATTTATATAATCTGTTCAATATTTAATATTTAATATTAATATTCCATGTCATATATTTATGTATATATATATATTTGTATAATATCTTGTCAAATTCTACATTTTTTTATTTCAACACGTATATTTTCTATTTTCTTTTCTATTCTTGTTTTATTGTAAAATGCCTTGTCTTTTATGCTGCTGCAACAAAAACTATTTCCCAAATTGGGATCAATAAAGTACCATCTTATCTTATCTTCTGCACACAAAGGAGTGCACACACATGGCAGTAAATTATTCTATCATACATTCAAAGCTTTATCCAAAATGTAAAAACATTGGGTACAGCCCAGCTTACTGTATGCATAGATACATGCCTTATAAATGGCTAAAATCCAAAAGCAGTTGTTGGACATGAAGAAACAAAAATTATAATATTATTTTTAGCTTAGATTTGAGCCTCTGCAGACCATTTACATGCACAAAAACGTATACAACACACAACAGGAAGGGGAAACCCCAAAAAGCACAATAGGGCCCATTTAAACACACAAGCTCACACATTTAACATAACTGGAATATAGTAGGGTGTGTGGGTATTACTTTGCCATGTGCTTTTTTTCATCCCTGTTAGCAGGAAGCAGAAATATGTGCAAGGTAAGCATGTGTAGGTAAATCCCTGGCTTAGCGTAAATGTGCATACGATCATAATAAGCCATCCAAGCCACAGCCACTGGTACTAGATGTACTTCTACTACTAATGAAATATTCTCAGGTCTTACCCAGAAGCTGAAATAGTCATTCCCCCAGGCACTGCAGAACTGCTCATGCGTCCGGGGGGTGGGGGTGTTCCCCAAGTCGTGGTTCCCACTGACGAACACCAGTGGGATGGAGGGGTCCGTCCCCTTCAGAGCCTTCTTCAGGTCCCGCTCCTGACCCTCTCTGAACGGGGTGTCTGGGGAGGAAGAAGGGATTCATGTCACAAGGTTATAGTTAGAAAAATATCCCTCGTCATCGTCTTGAGCTTCAATCTCAGGATCCATGTATCTGTGATCCTCTCAAGAATGGAAGTCGTCATCACATACAGAGCATCAACTAGTTCCTGAGCAGTGTCCTTCACATGCTGATATCCAAGAGAGGGAGTTACACAGTCACAAGATGGAGGAATAGAAAGCAGTCTTCAATGTTTACTTCAGATTAGCTCCACGTCAGAAATGAGCATGCTTGTCACATGTCTCTCTCCATAGAGGCTGAATCATCATGTTAATCACATAGCTATCACATGCCTCAAACAGTCCTGATGCTCTTCTAGGTAATCACACATCCTGTCATGTTCACAGCTGCAGTTGGGATACCTTTGTTAGCATGTGGACTCTGATATTAGAAGAGGACATTCAGTATTTTCCTAACAGACATATTGACGTCCTTGTGACAAATTAGGTAGTGGTTACAGACTCAGAAAAACAAAACAGCATCGACTCGAATCAGGAGAAGTCGATGCTTGATTTATTAATATTGATTAGAACATCTTATCGGGTCGAGATGCAATTAATGAGAGAGGAAATGTACATGGATGTTGATGAAAAATGTCCGATTTGAAGGGTGCTGCAGGTGAGAGTCGCCTTGTTTGGATGATAACAATGCCAGCTCGGAAAATGATCAATAGTCCGCACAGCTCGACTTTAGGTCACCATGGTTACTGGCATGATGAGTATTGTTGTCTGCGAAGACTCACTGGTCCAAGGATCTTTATAATGTGTTGCAATAAGGAGTACTAAGGAAGAAGTGTATTAAACATTATTTAGTCCCAGTGTGGGTTAAGGACAGTCTTTATCAAACAAACCGTATTCATTCCTCTCCTTCGTCTTCTGTTATTTCTTTTCCCTTTCTACTCATCTGAGTAATTATTTTACTGGCCTACTTTCGGAGCAAACGCTTCCTTGGATGTTTGGATAGGACTCATTACACAAGAGCCTTTTTTACGAACAGAACATCTTGTGCATGACAGAGCGAGACAATGAAGGGTTTAAACTGCATCCCAAATAAAAAGGTAAAACGCCGTTTCCACCTGTCTCTCGTCTATAATTAAGTCGTCCTGTCAGACTTCAGATTGTCACACAAACAGGAACTGAAATATAAAAGGAAACATGACCGCTTTCTTTGTCATGTAAAGCAGACTCAGTGTGACGCTGCATTTATATTCAGGTTGTAGAGTGACTGTGGTATCTTAAACACTATATTTATTTCCTCATGTATAACAGGTAGTATATCAAGAAGATCTTTAAGATTAGGGCTATAAAGTGTTCATAGGTCATCAGTAGAAGTAAGCAAGGTTGTAAACATGGCACCTGATTGGCTGGCCTAACACGGGCTGATGACACCTGAGTGTAAATCTTGTTAATGAGTGAAGCTGCCAGTCCAGCTCTGGTTAGTGTTGTGAGCAAGATATACAGCTATAAGGGAATTAAATATGTAAGCGAGGATTCGTGACATGATGCCATAAAAAATATTTCCTGGGAACCTGGAGTGCGTTAATACTCTCATGCAAGGGCTGCCTAGTATCTAGCGCACAAACCAAGAATGAAAAAAGCACAAAATGCATGCACAAAATACATTTTTGTAACAGGAAGGGTCATGAAAGTGCATTTTGAGCATGCCGGTTGAGTAGCAGTAATTTTATTTAAATAATTGTATTGATTAGGGTTACACAATGTCGGTAATATTCAAGCTGTGTGAATTTAAAGGAATTTATTTGCATTAATGGGAATACAATTGACAATGTATCTGCTAAGGTCAATTGTCTAACAGTTGGATACTTCCAGTGTTAAAGCAAATGTTATTCACCCCTTTAAATGACATTAAATAGCACCAGCCATGTCATAAGCAGACATCAGTGACTTATTTGCCAAATAACTCACAATATTACATTCTGAAATCCATACAGTGTACAAACCATGCAGTAAGTTAGCTACATAGTAAGTTAACTAATGGGGAAAGGTTGTTTGACATTTTCAGCTGACAAAGTAGGATCATGATAATAAAGAATACATGTAAACAAATGAAAACTTAGCATTCTCAATCAGCCTTCAAACCATCAGCGCTGGTAGCCACAGAGAGTCTTGCTGCCTGCCCTGAACTACGTCCTTTGTCACCGCAATATCCATGAACCATCCTTCAGCTCTGCACGGCGTAAACCAATCCTCAACCACACAGCAGCCCATCAATCTGCATTCAAGGCGCCTTGCTTTAGATTAATGGGGAGCGGCTAAAGGCAAGACAACATGTCAGTTTAACATTTGTAGGTTGTTTAGATACGCATGTCTGGCTGCCATTGCAAATCCGAGATAGCTTATTCTCTAGAAGACTGGCTTTATATACTTCTCTGTCAAATCCTTATTTACGTCCACTTAACAGCCGGTAATAGTGCCAAACAACAACTTGGTAAAAGGCTGTGATAAAACCCCATTTTGAAGTATGGCAGGTATTAAAAACAGGGGGGGGAAACAACTAAATAAAGAGTGCAGGTAAGTTCAGTTCATAAATAAGATTCCTTGTGCAGTGGAAATAATGAGAGCTCATGAAACATTTTATGAAAAAATAATTTTCATGCATATATTTTCTTGCCTGCTTTCCTTTTTCTGTAATAAGGAAATATATGCACAGAGCAGGGAGTACGGAAATAAAAACACAATGCTGCTGCTCTCAGGGCTCTGACTGAAAGGCCTTGTTGGTTTAATGAGATTGCAACGCTGTGATTCTCAAACCCTGACAGCAGACTCCGGCAGGTTCTCGTTGAGCCTGTCCAACACTGTAAGCTCTTCTCTCAATCCACAGAGGAGACTGTGGGGTCCTGCTGTCACATACATTTTTCAGTTGGATTTTTAAAACATGTGGAGGACCACTATGTCTGAGACTTACTCGAGCGTGCACTGGCACTGAGAGGCTGTTCTGATGGCCTGCAGTCTATGACAAGGTGGTAGTGAGGAGGAAGTTGCATTGGAAGTACCCTACAACCTTTCCCACATGAATGTATGCTGTATAAATCCTGCATGTACTGGGAAGTGTCTAAGAAATATCGCTATAAATCTAGAGTTTTGTCCAGAGCTGATGGGTACCTGAGCATATTTTATCTACATTTTATATTTCCTTTCTTTACTGTTCGATAGTTTGTTTGGATAGATCAACCTGCTAGTTTGGCAGTGCTGCTTCACGACAGCCTGACTCTACAATGCAGCGATTCACAGCCAGTAAAAACTAAAATGTGAATGTAGTTGAATAATTTCGAACCAGGACCTTCAGTATTTTTATCAAGTGGCTCATACATAAAGTGCCACATTTACTGGATGTGTCTGACGGATATTTATTCTACATTTAGACACATGTAAGCATCAAATCAGACTCTGGATTGACAGATACCTAATCTAAAAGGACTTGGATGACAATAGAAGCTAAAAACCCTTTGTCCCTCCAGCTCTCTCAAGAAAAAGAACCTACAAAAACTCGATCAGGAATATCCATTTTAATCAAGGCTAAATAGACTGATTAGAAAAAAGATTGGCACACCTGTTCCTAACTTTTTATTGAGTTACTGTTTGCCAGCCCTTAGCAACAGATATTTTTCTGTCATTATGTGATAGATTAAAGCCTTTTGAATCTTGAATCTTAAACCTTATTTAAAAAAGAAGTTAGATGCAATGTTTATATCTTATAGTGAAAATAAGATGTCAGCTGTTTTCAGCAACAAATAAATAAAGGTTTAATATCAACTGATTCTTCAAAACGAGCATAGGAGAGGATTTCATTGTGTTATGGTTCCTTTGTTGTTATATCAGTGGAAAATGTCTGCAGCTTCAAAACCCTCAGATGTCCATGGAGAGAGATAAGAAGTGGTTCTTCCCAGCGTTCCTTATTTACATAAATTCCATATGCCATGAGCACTGCAGAAACACTCCACAGTAATGCAGGTGTAGCTGGACTGCAGAGGTGAAGACTGAGGATTTACAAGTTGAGCTGTATTTAACCTCCCTATGGTCAAGAGCTTAGGCTTATAATAACTGAGAAAATGAAATCCTGCATACAAGCGGCCCATCGGAGCGGGGTCTTTAAGACTGAAAGTAGTCCATTCGGGTGTTTTTAGCCTTTGATAAGAGTCAGGTTTTCACCCTCTGTCTGAAACCAGAGCCCAGTCTGCTCTGTTTGGTTAGCTCACCAGCTCTGTTGTGATTGGTCAACAGCTCAGAGATGTCCCGCCCCTTAGCCTATCACGTACAATTTGTTGGAACGCTAGCCAATACAAATGTCGCTATAGGCGCTTTCACACCGGAGTACTTTTCCCAGGAATGGTTCCGGGATTTTGCGTTCACACCAAAAAGATCTGGAACTATAACTTTTTTTTGCGAACCTTTTCACCAGTGCCTGCTAGAGAGCAGGGACTTTCCTGGGGAGAAAAAGGTTCCAATTTCTGATTGGCTGGGCGAATTCCAAACCACGCCCCGTAAAACTCTGAAAACTTTTTGTGAAGCCGCCATTTTATTTGCTTGCATTAGCATTATTAGCATTAGCATTAGCCACGCGCACCAACGGAGAGAGAATAACTTATGGCAACACAAAAGAAAACATGGGAGCGGTGGAGTGATGAGGAGGTGTTGGCGCTTCTGGCGATTTACTCGAAAGGCTTCAGTAGAAGCTGCTGGGAGTCTCCGGGGACTTCTGTCCGGGGACTTCGGGTGGCAGTATACGCCGTGAAGTTGTTTGCGGCCTGCCAGTAAACCTAAAGCAGAAGAAGAAGAAGTGACGTCAGCGGCTCCCTCAGGGACTTATTCCGGTGTGAACGCGATTTACTAGATAGTTCCAGGAAATAAAAGTTCCGTGAACTATTCCTGGGAAAAGTACTTGGTGTGAAAGCGCCTAATGTGCCTGAAGTAAACAAAGGAGTCCAATGGAGGCGTTTCAGAC